CCCTCCTGGCGCACGGATCCCGCCTGCCTCTCCCCCGGCAGCGCGTCTGTTTCTGTCACCTGCAGATTCAGTTCCTCTTCTCCTTTCCTTCAGACTCCCTTTATGTCGGCTTTAATCAGCCCTTGCTCACACCTGAGCGCAGCACTTACGCAGCGCAATTAATGCACTCCACTTCCTCAGACAACTATTTCCATCCAGTGCGCATGGATTGTCACAAGGGAAAAACAAACCAAAACAACCCAACATACAGGAAACATTCTAAAGTCTAAAATAAAGGAAAACAATCATATAAACAAACATCAAAACATGCAAAGCTCAAGAAGAAAATACAAAGAAAAACAAATCATATCTTCCCCTCCAAACATGCAAAGCATAAAACTAACATTTAAATGAAAGAAAACCATAAATCATATTTTTCCCTGTGCAACACAACCATTTGGTCAATTTGTTCATACACCATTGGACACTATAGTCTCCTGTAATGTGTGCTCTGTGTGACAAATTAAAATGTAAACACTACATATGTTTTGGGTTTTATAACAGAGATGGTCAGTCATTTGCTACATTTCTCTACCTTTGTAGATCTTTTTAAGTATGTTTGTAGTGCAAACTTAATTATTATGCCACGGTGTCAACCAATCAGAAACGCTGATCCAGGAGTTTTTTTGGAGGAAAACGACACTACCTGCAAGCTGTCATCGTCTCTGCTGACATTCTTTATATGAAAAATAAATAAACATGAAGGGAGTTAAATTCCAAAGGATGAAAAAAAAAGCCAATTATGTAAAAGGAACAGAGAGCGAGATCTGTTCATTATTGCTGCTCTACATTTTTTTTTTTTTTATGAACTATGGCTGCCCTGGCCTTCCTGAGCACTGAAGTTGTGACAGTAACCCAGCTATAAAGGTAGCTAAACACTCCCTCATTCATCCACCAGGAATCACTCCATGGTTACTTTTAGCAGGTTTTAATGAGGTACCTGTAAAACTAAAAACACAATACAGCACATACACATACAGCAATATTACCGTAAACAGGTAACAAATTATTAGCTCAGCACATATGATTAGACATGTGATTAGACTCCAAATTATAACATTGAAATGCAGACAACAAGCTTGTTACTTACAGACGATGCCGTTCTGCGCTTAACTCAAAGAAAAACAACAGAAAATGGCTTCTGACTGAGCACATGTTCACACCGTCTTTTTACATTGACCTTGCAGTGTTAACTTTCACCACTAGGTGACTTCGTTGAACAACATATAAAACAAACTGATTATATTACAATGGCAAAAAAGTTTATAAATTAACTAGAAATGTTAAAACCTTCCAATGAAAAATATTCGATTGTTTATTCTGGTACTTTCAGTTTTTTTCACAAACCTTAAAACTCTTTATATTCACTTCCAGCTGCTATGGACAGCAGCAGGAAATTCCCCACAATCTGGGGCAGCAGAGAGCTCCAGCAAGAGGGATTTCCAGTGCTGCCTGCCAGCAGTATGCTGGAAGTCTGCCACTCTGAACAAGAACTGCATATTATACTAACTGGACAGATGATATTTGGAGGTGGACTTTCCTGCATAAAACATGTTAAAACAATTTTTCCCAATTCATAAAGTAAATAAATCCAAGCTATTCTGTAGCTTGAAGCTACAGAAAATAAGCAGATAAACAGAGCGCTGAGCATCCAGAGCATTGAAGCATCAAACCAACTGGACCACAGCTTGATGCAGCATCTGACCTAGCGTCCAAATTTCAACGTTTGTGTTTTGACGCCCAGATCACATTTGGTGGGAACGCAGCATTATGTCAAGAGAATTTGGATTCTATTTAATTTTCAAAAACTTGTAATAGTAAACTGAAATTAAGGAGGCTGACTTTGCTGCTGGATGAAAAAGTAGTTTCTTTGGGGACATTTGATAAGTGGGATCATGATATGAGGAAAATAATGAAAAAGAAATAAGAGACTGTTTGTTAATTAAATGAGCTTCACCTATAAATCTCTCTTCCTCCTTTATGTAGATTAACAGTCCACAGGTTAGCCTCTCGCACTGCCATTCGCTCCTTGGAGTCGGAGCAGAGAACACAAAGTGGACAGCAGGATGAAGAAGTGAAGAAGAAGGTGGTGGAGCTCAGTGTCCAATCAGGAGTGAGCAGTTCTTTTACTGCGTTCATTGCTGTCAACAAAGCCAGGCAGTTCAAGTCAGCTCAACGACCAGTGGTGCTCAGATATATTCCAAAAGATAACCTTAAATCCTTACGTGAGTGATTTCAATTCTGTTTGTTTAGCATTTCTTTGTTTTAGTTAGTATGAATATAAATTTCTTCAAGTTGAAAGCTAGTTTTCCAACCCTAACATGTGTCATGGTTATATCACCTTATTTTGTTAAGAAATTGGTGGACATTAATTAGGAGTACGTTAATACCAAATAACTTTATCTAGTTAAGCGTGAAATTATGTCCACTGGCGGTTAAAAACTTCTCATTCCTCAATAGATACAATTTCTCATTTTCCTTACATTTATTAGAATTTTGGCAGTCACACATTTCCTTTAGCTACTGAAAATCATTTTGCATGTTTCCACAGATTATTTGTATGAATTATCTTGGAGGGAAGGAGGCCTCCTTACCATCCCCCTTATGTTTAGCTTCATGCAGTTCTTTGCCAGATCAAAGTAGGGACTGTTTTGGTGACTGTAAAATGGACTAGCACCGGTAAATTTGCAGTGCTCGGAAATGGGCCGATTTTCGTGTGATCGACCAACACCAACAACAGACCGGTCAATATGAAGACCGCTAATTTATATATTTACGTTTTTTGTGTTCTAGATGTATCTTTTCTCAAAGACGCGCATCTTTCTCCTTTGCTTAGACCATGTTTGTTTTGATCAGAGTGCCCAAAAGAGGGGAAGAAATCATCAGAACAACAGATGTAAGGGGAGACAGCATTCTGAGCTCAGACACTGGGGGAATCAGTCTGAGAACACAGAGAAAGAGAGCACCATACCCAGGACAAGGCGACCAGTTGTGCCCCGTCTGTAGCTAAGGAACCACGGTGGTAGATCAGAGAAGCTGGGAAGACAGCTTGGTTTATTCTTGGTTTACTAAACAGGGTGACTGCACCAAAAATGACACAATCATGCTGTCCTAAC